GAATTGCACACCCTCTATGGGTGCTGGAAAGTAACCTTTGTGCGCGCGCGTTGCTGGCTAGCCCTGCCGTGCCAGGAAACCGGAAAGCTGCGTGTGTCCCAAAAACAAGGGAACTGATTGAATGGTTTTTCAAGCGCTACCCCGAAACTGGGAGCACACATTGTAAAGTAGCAGGGCAAGCGCAGCCACTTCCATGTCGGAGCGCGCTGCGTCTCATCAACTTCTTCGCACATATCCTGAACGCAGAGAGCCTCGCGTGACATCTCATACGTCCCGTGTTTTGCAGAAGCATGTTGCGCGAAGAAGTCTAGCAATTCAACGTGGCTGTTCATTGCGTCCGCTGCTGCCAACTCTTTGCATAGGTTTTTTGAACCAGCCCGCGCAATTCAACACACGCGCGGCCCCATATCTCTGGAAACACAAGCGACTTCGCCTCTGAAAGCTTTCGCCCTCTTGCCAACCATCATGGGCACAGGAGTGATTTGGACTGTCCTGTTCAAACGCTGCGTGTCCACAAGTGGTTCACAAATCGTTTCAGATGGCGTTTCTACTTGGGAACCTCAGCAAGCTCGTGCAGTTGTTCAAAGTGCCTTTCATTTCAATTCAGCAACGGCCCAAACACCAACCCCGACAAACGCATGCAATCCAGGACAGGCATCCGTATACTACGGCAAGGGTGCGGCGGGAAGACTGCGGACAGACTACCTGAAGAATCTGGGAAGGCTGCGAAAAGACTCTGCGGCAATACGCTGGCAAGACTCTTGTGAGACAGGGGAAGAGTTGCTGGAAATTGGGAAGGCTTGTTGGGAATTGTGGGAACTGCGGCAAGGACTCGGGAACTGCCGGCCGGGAACGCCGGGGCCCGGCAATTGCCGGGAAATTGCCGGGGCCCGGCAATTGCCGGGAACTGCGGCAAGACTACAGCAAGGCGCCTGGAACCACAAAAGGGAATGCCGGAGCTTTGCCGGGAGATGCCGGGAACTGCAGCAAAAGCACGGCAAGACTACTTACAGAAGAGATTCCCGGCATCTGCCGGTAATTGCCGGGAACTGCGGCAAGGGAAGTCTGCGCAACGCATTGCCGGGAGCTGCCGGGAAGCGGGGTAACGGCTGTTGTCCCTTGTCGCATCCTCAGCATCCCCTGTGGGGGAAAGGTGTGTTTTCAGGGGTAAGAGGAGCCGGGCCAACATTCTCAGCATCCCCTGCCGCATCCTTAGCATCCACTGTCGGGGAAAGGCGTGTTTTCAGGGGTGCTCTTTACACGCCTTTCAATGAAAGAGGAGCCGGGCCAACATCCTCAGCATCCCCTGCCGCATCATTAGCATCAAATGTCAGGGAAAGGCGTGTTTTTGAGGGGCGCTCATCCTCAGCAGCATCCCCTGCCGCATCCTCAGCATCCCTCTCGGTGCGGGCCAGCAGCCTTAACGTATCCTGTCAGGAGTGTTTCCTCATCATCTCCTCAGCATCCCCAGCGCGCGTCACAGATCTTTTGTGTTTTCAGGCCCTGGCAAGAGTAGGGTAAGAATTGCCGCTTCGGGCAGACTAACCAGCCAAGGGGATTGCGAGGACTTTGCCAGGCAACGCAGCGCGCGGCAAGACTGCTTACAGAAGATTGCTGGATTTGTCGGGAACCGTGCGGAGACTATGCGGCAAGTGCGCGAAAATAATTGCCGGAGCTGCGGCAAGACCGCCAGGGAAAGAATTGCCGGGACCGGGGCTAAGCCTACGTGCAGACAAACTACAAAACCAAAACGGATTGCGGAGAATTGTCGCACATTTGTCGGACATGACAGGAGCTGCAGCAAAAGCGTGGCCAGTTTAACTGCAGGGATTGCCGGGATTTGCCGGGAAACGCTGGGAACTGCACGTGCGGCAAGAACTTTTGGCCAGATTCGCGACCGTCAGAAACGCCTCCAAAATGTACAAATTCAAAGCAAGTTCTCGTACATTAGGGTACCCCCCCCCACTCGTACATTAGCCAAAGGGGTGGGCCTATTGCACCTTGTTCATGTCATCCTTTCTTTTCATTTGGCATGCCGTGCCAAGCTCATGTATAATATATCTGTCAGTTGGGGTGGATGCTCTCATCAATTCCTGAGTTGTAAGAAACAAGTTGACGCGGCTAGTCTTCTGGTCGCTGCAGACAATCCATGCGCATATCCTTTTGTAGTGTCGTTGGCGATACGGGCTGAATGGCATTGTCTTAATACCAGGGACGCGTTGGATATTGGGTGCCGTTGTCAAAGAGAGCAACATAAAACCACCCGTGTCAAGAGTCCCTAGTGTTGACATATGCTCCATCAAAAATAATACTGATCGGCCATGACCATGGGAACTATGTATGAACTTGTATCGCGGGCAAGCCTCCTACTTCAACCTATCCATCATGTCATGTGATGGATTTACTTTCTGCCTCACGCCTCTGCCTCCTGGCTCAGATTTGTTCTAAAAAGTACCGTACTCACAGTTGAAACACATCTGGAACCCCCACAGCCACGGAATCCCCAAGTCAGGAACTTGCCCCATGGTGGAGCTCGTTTTAGTTTCAGGTGAGCTCGGTGTAACTTGCGCAGACCAATGGAAGCATGTGTTCTAGACAAACCATCACTAAAGCATGCATAGTCCACATGCTGCTGGGTGTGCATGCTAGAACAGGCGGCGTCAAAACACAAATTATCTTCATCTCCCTCTATGCACGAGGAGGAAACAATCAAACCAGTATTGGAGGTTGATTTCGAATTGGTGTCATTTTCAACGCCATCCAAAGCGGCCTTGCGTTGTTGCAGTTCAGAAACATTCCCTCAATGACTCAACAATCCAACAGGAAGAGTCTTGTTCGCATTATAGAAACCACCAGGAAACAGGAAGAGTCTTACACCCATTTTAGAAGCCTTCCAGACCAACATGGTATGCTCGTAGCCCCAGGAGAGCTGGCCAACGTGCTGGAGCATTTGTTGCGGCCAAGTGTCCACAAAGTCTTCCAAGTCTTTCGGCTCTTTGCCCTCCTGAGAGAGAGAGAGAGAGTGGTCTTCCTTTGGGAATCCTCCGACTTTCTGGGTCGGAAAAAACGATCGCCGACCCCTGCAACGCTGGAACGCCAAAAAGCCAAAGCGTCAGGGGTAAACCAATGGCAACATCCGAGTCACGTGCTCAAAACCCGGAGAATTGGAGGGTAGGGATAATGCCAACCATAAATGGGTGCGGAAATCCGCCTTTTCAAGTCCTTACATGGTTCTGGTTTCACCTTCAGTTGATCCTGCAGACCTTCAGAACATTGTGGTTAAGGTAGACCCAGTCTTCGGTTGTTTTCACCTGGCTTTCTCACTCCCGCCTGGCCGAAAACATACGTGTCTGTTTACCATTAAACATGTCTTCCCAAAAAGTCTTCCCAAAGAGTATATGGCCATGAGTCAAAATCCAAATCGAACCCCCTGTGAACATCCGATTCAATCCAACCACCAAAATAGGTAACCTAAAATGGGTGGTGAATTCACCTACCAAAATGGGATCCGATCCAAAACGGTTCTGACCACCACAGCCATATGAACGCCAAGAGCTCAGGTGCCACATGCTTTGGGAAGCACGGATTGGGTGCTTGCGAATCCGGGAAATGAGCATCGGAAATGCCCGTGTGCTCTTCAAGGCTACTTTTGGGGTTATTTGAAAAGGACATCAACAAGAAAACCACATTTTGTGCGCGCCTATTTTGACACATTCTTATGTGAGGTCTAGAAATACCATATTTAGGCGAAAAAAGACGAGCAAGGGACGTTTCGGCCGTGGGGGCCGCTCCCAACTAGTCCGGGCGTTCAACAGACCGGAACTTCGCGAGAACTCAGGCCGCGGCAGCCAAAGCAAGCCTCAGCTTTCCGCTCGAATTCGAGCGGAAAAAGTTATCATGACTTGGTTGCTGCAACGACCCCTATGCAAAAAGTGCTTTCTCTTTTTGTGGGTCCAATTCGGAGAACCCCAGCTGTTTCCAACCAACAAGTTCAAGTCTAAAGATCCAACCCAATAGCAATCAAGATGAATTCGACCCAACAAATGGAGGGGGGAGGGGGAAATATCTTTTAATCAGGGTACCCTTTTCAGGTTCATGTGGGTACGGTACAAGGCTTGTTCTCGTTGCCAAATCCATTGAACCAATTTTGGATTGGCCATACATATCAATGTCTCACTTTAGTGGCGTCAGAAAAACTTCCAGTGTGTTTACCAATCAAATGGTCCTTCCGCCCACCCGCCCGTGTGCCCGCCCACCCGCCCGGCCAGCCAGCAGCCAGCCTGCCAGCCTGCCTGTTAGCCGTCCGTCCGTCCGTCCGTCCGTCCGTCCATCCATCCATTGCGCAGAGTCCTTGTCGACTTCCCAAATGTCAAGTCCAAGAACTGGGTGTGCCATGCTGTTGCTGCTGTGGATGGTTGCGAAATCCATTTGGCACCACCTAAGAAAGCCTGGAATGATTCGCTTCCCCTGTAAATACCAGCAAGCCATGGTTTCCCATGATAGTTTCTTAGGTGCAGGATTTATCCATCCACACCATGGACGTGTTGCATTGCGCATCTACCAAACATGGGTGCAACTGGGGTAGTGCTTCGAACCGAGATCTGTACGAACGAATCGATCTGAACCACAGCTCCCATGTTTTGGGCCCTGCTTCGGGTTGGTTTAAAGGTAGTCCATAAGGCCTTAGGGAACCACCCCCTTTTTGGAGGTCGCCGTGTTTTGGAGACAACGTCATCTGGGCGTTGTAGTCCAAATCGGCGGACCTACCCCCCCCCACCAACAAAAAAAGCAGGTTGACTTCTGGTTGCCCTTCAAAAACGCCAGAGATACCCACCAAGTCCGGACAACGCCCCCCCCCCCACCTCAGGAGCCCTGAGAAGCGGATTTGGAGCCCAACGCGGCTTTCGGACTTCCCCCTTTGGTTGCCCTCCGAAGCCCAAAAAAAACGGGATAGCCACCAAAAGACACACCAAGCAACGGCATCCTCCACCATCACGCCCTCAAACGCTACAGAAATGCAGTTCAACAACTCCAACGACCCCCCAAGAAATCCCTACACCCACCCACCCACCCCACCCCACCCCACCCCACCCCACCCCACCCCACCCCACCCCACCCCACCCCACCCCACCCCACCCCACCCCACCCCACCCCACCCCACCCCACCCCACCCCACCCCACCCAAGCCCAGGACACCAGACTCGACTCAGTGGCTTTCCGGGTGGCTGGCCGCAGGCGCCGGCGATGTCTTGGCCCATCTCGCGGCGCACCCGCGTGAGGATGCTGAAGCCGCCGAGGATCTGCTGAAAGCCTCGAATGCGCGTTTCGCGACCAATGGAGCTGGAGCGTAGGTCCAGGTTTGAGAGGTTAGGATAACAGGGATCCTTACATGATACACCTGAACATTGCCTTGTAAATGGTGGTTTCCCTTGATTTCGGTGGAAACAACCATGTTTCAAATGGGCAAAATGTATCTTTTAAGGAGCCAGTGGACCTACGCCGAATCCCGGCACATGTGTCATGGTCAAAACTCCCAATGCGGGTCATGGTCGTGGCTCTGGCTCCCTTGATGGGAAGTTTTACATACGAAAGCCCTAGTAAGACTGGGTCATTTGAGAGGTTCGGAGGGTACCCGTTTTTTTTTCTTTTTCTGTAGTCTATTTTAGTAGGCGAACCCTCCTCCAAAAAAAGGGAAAGAGGAGCACTACTGGGGGACCTAGGGAGCACAAGCCGACCAGATGCCAAATGCGAGGCTTCGAGACGAGGGGGCATCACAGGTGCAACGCCATCTCATCCCAAGCACTTTCTCCCAAAGCTAAGAGTTCAAAGGTCAGGGTGTCTCTTTCTCTTTTTTGGTTGGTACCCTTGTTTGGGTAAGGGAAACCAAAAAGACAAATCCAAAATCCATTTTGCGGGGGTCAAATCCTAAAATGCTGGTCACCAGCCACTGGGGAATAATTGGCAAGCTGGGATCCAATTATATAACCGGTTCCTGTAACCTTCCAGTCGCGAGGAATCTGAACAATTAGCAGGTAACCAGCCATTTTCCCTTTGTTTATTTAATGAGTGGCTCCCTTGCTTACCCATAGGAAATGGAAGACACGGGTCTCCCTAGGAGCAAAATGACATATACCAACCTGCGGGTCACCCAAAAGAAAGGGGTCATGGCCCCATGTTTTAAGGGGTCACGGAAACGAAATGGCATGGGGGCCTTGGTTCACCGCCGGTTCCGGCCAACGTGCCTTGGAGAGAACTGTCGGATGATCTGATCTGAGTGCCAAAATGTCAAGGAACGTGAGCAATTAACAACACCTAATGGATGGACCAAATCCTGCTCCACATTGAAACCATGGGAAACCATTGTGTGTTGGCATTTACAGGAGATTGAATCATTCCAGGGTTTGTTAGGTGGTGCCAAATGGATTTCGTCCAGCCACAGTAGATTAGTGTAGGGAGGTACTAAAAATTATGCAGACTCGCCAACATCCTGATCTGTTTGCTGGGTATTTGGCGAATTTCCAGCAGAAACTCCTTGAGGTTTCTTAGATTCCTACGTGTCGAGGGACCAAACAACTTTCCTCCTTGCAAGGGAACATCTTGCTGGTTCTCAACTCTGTGAGGAAGTGAAACCCTAAATCAAATCCTCGTACTTTCCTAGATCCCAAATTCCACCGAACCCTTTGCAGCTTCCTGGGTCCGGCTCACTTTAACTTGGCCTAAGGTGATGCTCAACATAGCGGAGATCCATACTGTGAATGAACGACATCCGTTCGCACCAATTTGAAACCTTGGAAAAGCATGGTTTGTTAGCATTTACAGGGGAATCGAATCATTCCGGGGTTTGTTAGGTAGTGCAGGATTTCGCAACCATACACAGTAGGGGGCTTGTCTAGCCCTTTTGGGGGTGAAACCAAAGGAGGTGCTTTTGATGGATTTCGCAACCATCCACAGTAAGGAGAAGGAGGATACCCTCCCACCTTTTTTTCACATGGAACCTGACGAAAAAGGGGGTCCTGGTTTGGACAATGTTCCTTTTAAAGGGACCCTCGAACGTCAGGTTTGTGAAAAAATTGGGAGGGTACATGGAAGAAAACCAGTGCCATCTATTTCTATTCTAACCATACTAACCTAAAAAGAACACCTATGGCGAGCGGACGAAATTCTGCACCACTTTGAAACCAACGGAACCATCATTTATTGGTGTTTACCGGGGAATCATCATTCCAGGGTTTCATAGGTGGTGCAGGATTTCGTCCATCCACAGTATGGCCAGCGGAACTGGCCCTTACCCTCCTGGAAGCCAAAAAGTACACTTGGGCACCAATTCGGAGCCCTGGGTGTCCACCTTCGCACGTATGTGTATATATATATATATAGATACATATATTACATATCCGAAGGTTCTTTTGCTGATGTATGTATGTATATATATATATATATGTCTATATATATATATAATATTTTCCCCCGCGCCCCCCCCCCCCACCAACCAACGTGGGTTTGTGAGGGTCTGTGCACTTCCATGGAATCGTTGGTGGGAGGGTATCCGAAAAGTCCTTTTGCTGATCTGTGAAATATGTCCATGGGTCAAAACCCACCGTACCCCCAGTGAACGCCCCAATCCAACCACTAAATTGGAAACCTAAAATGGGTGGTGAATTCACCTATCCCAACCAAAATGGGGGTTCCAAAATGGGAGGTGCACCTACCAACCAAAATGGGGGTTCTAAAATGGGTGGTGAATTCACCTACCAACCAAAATAGGAAACCTAAAATGGGTGGTGAATTCACCTACCAGCCAGAATGGGGGTTCTAAAATTGGTGGTGAATTCACCAATCCCAACCAAAATGGGTACCCAAAACGGTGTTGACCCATGGCCAAATGGAGTTGCCGAGAAGCGCTCCACCCGCTCGAAGGCTGGAGCTTTGAAGCCTCCGGGTAACGAGGAGGCCCCGGGATTGTAGGGGATCAGGTTCACCATGACCTCGCTCGGTTGCAACGACCCCCGGCAAAAAGTGAATCACTTTTGAGGGTTTAGTGGAAAAGCCAACTTGATTTCGACCAAAAAGTTGAAGTTTAAAGATCCAACCCAATAGCAGTCCAGGGTGTAGTCGGCAGTAGGTAGTCTTGTTGACTTGTATTTCAGGTTGGCAAAAAAAAAGTTTGAACCCTTAGGTTTCTGGTTACCTTGGGGAACCTGGGGTAATGCCCCAAGAGTGGCTTGGGCCGCTACCCTGCTTGTATCTGTGAGAGGCCAAGGGCATCCTCTTTCAAGTTGACAAAGCGGGTGATGGGAATCAACCACTCTCATGTCACTAAGCCTAGCCTCATTCCAATCACGGAAGTGAACTGCTGTCGGCCTTGCTGAGACTGTCTTACACAACGCTCCTCTCAGGCTCCACGATTATCGGTATTTTCGGTTTTGCGGGGCAAGTAGGAAACCTGCTTCGTGCGTCAATTGAAGTGTGTTTGAGTTCCAGGAACATGACGTAACATGGTCTAAGCGACAAGGAGTGTCTGGAAAGTAGTCCGAAATGGTGCACAATTTACCTAACCCCTTTTTTGAGTGGTTTTAAGGAAAAACACCTTTTCATTTGGTACCCTCGACACCCAATTCCCCGGTAGGTCTAGTCCCATCGTGGACCAGTTGGAGCAAAAGTCTGGTGACCCCCAGTCAGTTTGCTGGTGGATGGGAGGGTGAAACTGTTCAAGCAAACAAACAAAGTGTCTGTTCTCAAAAGCTGAGAGCTATTCGTTCTCTGCTAACCAAGCTCCACGCTTTGGAGCTCGGAGGGCTCTGGTTGCAATACCTGCTTGCTTACTCATTGCCCGGATAAGACCTGGCACTCAAAGCTGATCACCTTTTGGGGCCACGAAACACGAAGCAAAATGGGTGTGGGTCAAAAAAAACCACCCAAAATGAACCCTGGTAAATGGAAACATGGACTACAACCTGCGGTCCCATGGTTCAATTGTGACCCACACCCAAATGGGGAACATCGTCAAAACGAAAGGACGATTCGCTTTGAAAGGCAACTGGCCATGGTCCAAATCCCGGTTAGCCCCAGTGAACATCCGATTCAATCCAACCACTAAAATCCGCCGACAACAGACGGCGTTGGACATAAGAAATGCTCCTTACCTCTTTACCTGTTACCTCCCCTAACCCCTCCCCAGCAGGGGGGGGGTCCACGTACCAAGCGGTGATTCGAAGACGCTTCACTAAATCTGTTCATTGTGCGGGCTTGCGCAACTCAGTTTGTCAAAAACATTGGGGTGTTCGATTCCCCCCGGGTGCGCTTTCGCATCCTTAGCAGTCCCAGTGGCACATCGCCAGCATCACCTGCATCATCCGCATCAGCGCCTGCCAAGGATGCGGATGATGCAAGTGATGCTGGGGATGTTGCCCATGCTGGTGAAGGAAATGAAGGGGGGAAAGGGGAAAGGATCTCAACAGCGAAAGGGGGGGAAAGATCTCAGGGAGGAAAGGGAGAAGATCTGGGGAAAACATGCCTTAAGGAGGAAAGGGGGGAACAGATCTTTGGGAGGAAAATGGAAATCTTTCTCGGCCCTAAGGGGCAATGGGGGGACAGGATCTCAAACGGCAAAGATCTCAGGAGGAAAGGGAGAAGATCTGGGGAAAAAATGCGTTAAGGGTGTTGAGATCCTTTCCCCCCTTCCCTTTAAGGCCTCTCCAGATCTTCTCCCTTTTCCTTCCTAAGATTGTTTCCCGCCTTTCCCTGTTGAGATCCTTCCCGCCCTTTCCCCCCTCAGGCCTTTCCCCCCCCCTGAGAGCTTCTCCCTTTTCCTTTCCTTCCTTAGATCTTTCCCCCCTTTCCCTGTTGGCCTTTTTCTCTCAGATCTTCTCCCTTTCCTCCCTAAGATCTTTTCCACCCCTTTCCCTGTTGAGATCTTTCTCCCCTTTCCCCTCTACGGCCATTGCCCCCAGATCTTCTCCCTTTCCTCCCTAAGATCTTTCCCCCCCTTTCCCTGCTCAGATCCTTTCCCCCCTTTCCCCCCTAAGGCCTTTCCCCCCCTGAGATCTTCTCCCTTTTCCTCCCTAAGATCTTTTGCCACCTTTCCCTGTTGAGATCCATTCCCCCTTTCCCCCCTAAGGCCCTTTCTCCCTCTGAGTTTTTCCCTTTTCCTCCCTACGATGTTTTCCCCCCTCTCCCTGTTGAGATCCTTTCCCTCCTTTCCCCCCTAAGGCCTTTTTTCCCCCCGCGATCTTCCCCCTTTTCCTTCCTAAGATCTTTTCCCCCCTTTCCTTGTTGAGATCCTTTCCCGCCCTTTCCCCCCTAAGGCGTTTTCCCCCCCCAAGATCTTCTCCCTTTTCCTCCCTAAGATCCTTTGCCCCCTTTCCCTGTTGAGGTCCTTTCCCCTCTTTCCCCCCTAAGGCCTTTCCCCCCCTGAGATCTTCCCCCTTGTCCTCCCCAAGATCTTTTCCCTTGGTTGAGATCCTTTCCCCCTTTCCCCCCAAGATCTTCTCCCTTTTCCTCCCTAGGATCCTCTCCCACCTTTCCCTGTTGAGCTCCTTTCCCCCTTTTCCCCCTAAGGCCTTTTCAGATCTTCTCCCTTTTCCTCCCGAAGATCCTTTGCCCCCTTTCCCTGTTGAGATCCTTTCCCCCTTTCCCCCCTAAGGCCTTTTCCCTGCCTGGGATCTTCTCCCTTTCCTCACTGAGATCTTTCCCCCCCTTTCCCTGTTGAGATCCTTTCCCTCCTTTCCTTCCTAAGGCCTTTCCCCCCGCTGAGATCTTCTCCCTATTCCTCCTTAAGATCCTTTGCCTCCTTTCCCCGTTGAGATCCTTTCCCTTCTTCCCTTTAAGGCCTTTCCAGATCTTTTCCCTTTTCCTTCCTAAGATTGTTTCCCCCCTTTCCCTGTTGAGATCCTTCCCACCCTTTCCCGCCTAAGGCCTTTCCCCCCTGAGAGCTTCTCCCTTTTCCTTCCTTAGATCTTTCCCCCCTTTCCCTGTTGGCCTTTTTTCCCCCAGATCTTCTCCCTTTCCTCCCTAAGATCTTTTCCACCCCTTCCCTGTTGAGATCATTTCTCCCCTTCCCCTCTAAGGCCTTTGTCCCCAGATCTTCTCCCTTTCCTCCCTAAGATCTTTCCCCCCCCCCTTTCCCTGCTGAGATCCTTTTCCCCCTTTCCCCCCTAAGGCCTTTCCCCCCCCTGAGAGCTTCTCCCTTTTCCTTCCGAAGATCTTTTCCCACCTTTCCCTGTTGGGCTTTTCCCCCTAAGTCCTTTTCTCCCAAATCTTCTCCCTTTCCTCCCTAAGATCTTCCCCCCCCCCTTTCCTCCCTAAGACCTTTCCCACCCTTTCCCTGTTGAGATCCTTTCCCCCTTTTCCCTCCCAAGGCCTTTCCCCCCCCTGAGAGCTTCTCCCTTTTCCTTCCTAAGATCTTTTCCCCCCTTTCCCTGTTGCGCTTTCCCCCCTAAGTCCTTTTCTCCCAGATCTTCTCCCTTTCCTCCCTAAGATCTTCCCCCCCCCCTTTCCTTCCTAAGATTGTTTCCCCCCTTTCCCTGTTGAGATCCTTCCCACCCTTTCCCCCCTGAGGCCTTTCCCCCCCTGAGAGCTTCTCCTTCCGTAGGTCTTTCCCCCCTGTCCCTGTTGGCCTTTTTCCCCCAGATCTTCTCCCTTTCCTCCCTGAGATCTTTTCCACCCCTTTCCCTGTTGAGATCATTTCTCCCCTTTCCCCCCTAAGGCCTTTGCCCCCAGATCTTCTCCCTTTCCTCCCTAAGATCTTTCCCCCCCTTTCCCTGCTCAAATCATTTCCCCCCTTTCCCCCCTAAGGCCTTTCCCCCCCTGAGATCTTCTCCCTTTTCCTCCCTAAGATCTTTTGCCATTTTTCCATGTTGAGATCCATTCCTCCTTTCCACCCTATTTCTCCCTCTGAGTTTTCCCTTTTCCTCCCTACGATGTTTTCCCCTCTCTCCCTGTTGAGATCCTTTCCCTCCTTTCCCCCCTGAGGCCTTTTTTCCCCCCGCGATCTTCCCCCTTTTCCTTCCTAGAATCTTTTCCCACCTTTCCTTGTTGAGATCCTTTCCCCCCTTTCCCCCCTAAGGCCTTTCCCCCCCTGAGATCTTTTTCCTTGTCCTCCCCAAGATCTTTTCCCTTGGTTGAGATCCTTTCCCCCTTTCCCCCCAAGATCTTCTCCCTTTTCCTCCCTAGGATCTTCTCCCACCTTTCCCTGTTGAGCTCCTTTCCCCCTTTTCCCCCTAAGGCCTTTTCAGATTTTGTCCCTTTTCCTCCCGAAGATCCTTTGCCCCCTTTCCCTGTTGAGATCCTTTCCCCCTTTCCCCCCTAAGGCCTTTTCCCTGCCTGGGACCTTCTCCCTTTCCTCACTGAGATCTTTCCCCCCCTTTCCCTGTTGAGATCCTTTCCCCCCTTTCCCCCCTACGGCCTTTCCCCCCGCTGAGATCTTCTTCCTATTCCTCCTTAAGATCCTTTGCCCCCTTTCCCTGTTGAGATCCTTTCCCCCCTTCCCTGTAAGGCCTTTCCAGATCTTCTCCCTTTTCCTTCCTAAGATTGTTTCCCCCCTTTCCCTGTTGAGATCCTTCCCACCCTTTCCCCCCTCAGGCCTTTCCCCCCCCTGAGAGCTTCTCCCTTTTCCTTCCTTAGATCTTTCCCCCCTTTCCCTGTTGGCCTTTTTTCCCCCAGATCTTCTCCCTTTCCTCCCTAAGATCTTTTCCACCCCTTTCCCTGTTGAGATCATTTCTCCCCTTTCCCCCCTAAGGCCTTTGTCCCCAGATCTTCTCCCTTTCCTCCCTAAGATCTTCCCCCCCCCCCTTTCCCTGCTGAGATCCTTTTCCCCCTTTCCCCCCTAAGGCCTTTCCCCCCCCTGAGAGCTTCTCCCTTTTCCTTCCTAAGATCTTTTCCCCCCTTTCCCTGTTGGGCTTTCCCCCCTAAGTCCTTTTCTCCCAGATCTTCTCCCTTTCCTCCCTAAGATCTTCCCCCCCCTTTCCTCCCTAAGATCTTTCCCACCCTTTCCCTGTTGAGATCCTTTCCCCCCTTTCCCTCCCAAGGCCTTTCCCCCCCTGAAGATCTTTTCCCCCCTTTCCATGTTGGCCTTTTTTCCCCAGATCTTCTCCCTTTCCTCCCTAAGATCTTTTCCACCCCTTTCCCTGTTGAGATCATTTCTCCCCTTTCCCCCCTAAGGCCTTTTTGCCCCAGATCTTCTGCCTTTCCTCCCTAAGATCTTCCCCCCCCCCCCAGCTCCCTGTTGAGATCATTTATTTCCCCCCTTTTCCTTCTAAGGCCTTTTCCCACCCTCAGTTCTTCTCCCTTTTCCTCCCAAAGATCTTTCCCCCCCTTTCCTCCCTAAGTCCTTTTCCCTGAGTTTGTCTCCCTTTGCCTCCCTAAGATCTTTTCCCCCCTTTCCCGCTTAAGATCCTTTCCCCCGTTTCCCCCCTAAGGCCTTTTCCCCCCAAGATCTCCACCCTTCTCTTCCCAAAGTCTTTTTCCCCCTTTCCCGTTTGAGATCCTGTCCCCCCATTGCCCCTTAGGGCCTGTTCCCCCCGAGAAAGATTTCCATTTTCCTCCCAAAGATCTGTTCCCCCCTTTCCCTTAAGGAGGAATAGGGAGAAGATCTCAGCGGGGGGAAAGGCCGTAGGGGGGAAAGGGGGGAAAGGATCTCAACAGGGAAAGGGGGGGGAAGATCTCAGGGAGGAAAGGAAAAAGATCCCAGGGAGGAAAAGGCCGTAGGGGGGGAAGTGGGGGAAAGGGAGGAAAAGGGAGAAGATCTCAGGGGGGAAAAGGCCTTAGGGGGGAAAGGGGGGAAAGGATCTCAACAGGGAGAGGGGGGAAACCATCTTAGGGAAAAAAAGGGAAACAAAAAGGCCTTAGGGCGGAAAGGGGGAATGGATCTCAACAAAGAAAGGGGGGGCAAAAATCTCAGAGAAGAAGGGGGCAAGGGGACAATTCCAAAGGGACGCAAATAAGAAAGCAGGCCTGTAATGTCGGCGGCCTGAGCCGGAGGCACTAAAATAGGTAACCTAAAATGGGTGGTGAATTCACCTACCAACCAAAATGGGGGTTCTAAAACGGGGGGGGGCAACCAGAATGGGGGTTCTAAAATGGGTGGTGAATTCATCTACCAACCAAAATGGGGGTTCTAAAATGGGTGGTGCACCTACCAACCAAAATGGGGGTTCTAAAATGGGTGGTGAATTCACCTACCAACCAAAATGGGGGTTCTAAAATGGGTGGTGCACCTACCAACCAAAATGGGGGTTCTAAAATGGGTGGTGCACCTGCCAACCAAAATGGGGGTTCTAAAATGGGTGGTGCACCTACCAACCACAATGGGGGTTCTAAAATGGGTGGTGCACCTGCCAACCAAAATGGGGGTTCTAAAATGGGTGGTGAATTCACCTACCAACCAAAATGGGGGTTCTAAAATGCACCTACCAACCACAATGGGAGTTCTAAAATGGGTGGTGCACCTGCCAACCTAAAATGGGGGTTCTAAAATGGGTGGTGCACCTACCAACCAAAATGGGGGTTCTAAAATGGGTGGTGAATTCACCTGTGGTGCACCTGCCAATGGGGGTTCCAAAACCTGGGGGTTCTAAAATGGGTGGTGAATTCACCTACCAACCAAAATGGGGGTTCTAAAATGGGTGGTGCACCTACCAACCAAAAAACCAACCAAAATGGGGGTTCTAAAATGGGTGGTGCAACCAAAATGGGGGTTCTAAAATGGGTGGTGCACCTGCCAACCAAAATGGGGGTTCTAAAATGGGTGGTGCACCTGCCAACCAAAATGGGGGTTCTAAAATGGGTGGTGCACCTGCCAACCAAAATGGGGGTTCTAAAATGGGTGGTGAACCTACCAACCAAAATGGGGGTTCTAAAATGGGTGGTGCACCTGCCAACCAAAATGGGGGTTCTAAAATGGGTGGTGCACCTACCAACCAAAATGGGGGTTCTAAAATGGGTGGTGCACCTACCAACCAAAATGGGGGTTCTAAAATGGGTGGTGCACCTACCAACCAAAATGGGGGTTCTAAAATGGGTGGTGCACCTACCAACCAAAATGGGGGTTCTAAAATGGGAGGTGCACCTACCAACCACAATGGGGGTTCTAAAATGGGTGGTGCACCTACCAACCAAAATGGGGGTTCTAAAATGGGAGGTGCACCTACCAACCAAAATGGGGGTTCTAAAATGGGAGGTGCACCTACCAACCAAAATGGGGGTTCTAAAATGGGTGGTGCACCTACCAACCAAAATGGGGGTTCTAAAATGGGTGGTGCACCTACCAACCAAAATGGGGGTTCTAAAATGGGTGGTGCACCTACCAACCAAAATGGGGGTTCTAAAATGGGTGGTGCACCTACCAACCAAAATGGGGGTTCTAAAATGGGTGGTGCACCTACCAACCAAAATGGGGGTTCTAAAATGGGAGGTGCACCTACCAACCAAAATGGGGGTTCTAAAATGGGTGGGTGGTGCACCTACCAACCAAAATGGGGGTTCTAAAATGGGAGGTGGGGTTCTAAAATGGGAGGTGCACCTACCAACCAAAATGGGGGTTCTAAAATGGGTGGTGCACCTACCAACCAAAATGGGGGTTCTAAAATGGGAGGTGAACCTACCAACCACAATGGGGGTTCTAAAATGGGTGGTGCACCTACCAACCAAAATGGGGGTTCTAAAATGGGAGGTGCACCTACCAACCAAAATGGGGGTTCTAAAATGGGAGGTGCACCTACCAACCAAAATGGGGGTTCTAAAATGGGAGGTGCACCTACCAACCAAAATGGGGGTTCTAAAATGGGTGGTGCACCTGCCAACCAAAATGGGTGTTCTAAAATGGGTGGTGCACCTGCCAACCAAAATGGGGGTTCTAAAATGGGTGGTGCACCTACCAACCAAAATGGGGGTTGTAAAATGGGTGGTGCACCTGCCAACCAAAATGGGGGTTCTAAAATGGGTGGTGCACCTACCAACCAAAATGGGGGTTCTAAATGGGTGGTGCACCTACCAACCAAAATGGGGGTTCTAAAATGGGTGGTGCACCAAAATGGGGGTTCTAAAATGGGTGGTGCACCTACCAACCAAAATGGGGTTCTAAAATGGGTGGTGCACCTACCAACCAAAATGGGGGTTCTAAAATGGGTGGTCCAAAATGGGGGTTCTAAAATGGGTGGTGCACCTACCAACCACAATGGGGGTTCTAAAATGGGTGGTGCACCTGCCAACCAAAATGGGGGCTCTAAAATGGGTGGTGAATTCACCTACCAACCAAAATGGGGGTTCTAAAATGGGTGGTGAATTCACCTACCAACCACAATGGGGGTTCTAAAAAGGGCGGTGAATTCACCTACCAACCAAAATGGGGGTTCTGAATTGGGTGGTGCTCCTACCAACCAAAATGGGGGTTCTAAAATGGGTGGTGCTCCTACCAACCAAAATGGCGGTTGTAAAATGGGTGGTGCACCTACCAACCAAAATGGGGGTTCTAAAATGGGTGGTGCACCTACAAACCAAAATGGGGGTTGTAAAATGGGTGGTGCACCTACCAACCAAAATGGGAGTTTAAAATGGGCTTTGTGCACCGAAAACCCCAAAATGGGATCCCATTGGTTTTGACCCACAGCCATCCGAGTTGTTGGAACTGGTGGGCCCCGGCCTTGCGTGCCCTTGGCGCCATCAACCGGCCCAGATCTGCGGCAGTGCTGTCGCTGTCGTTCACGTCCGCCAACAGGACGTACTCCTGCGGCAAGGGTGACCAGCACGCTTCGGCGCTTTGGGTGGAGTTGCCCTAGCTGCCTGGACCTTCCATTGTTACGTAAATTTGTGTCAAGGAAAAACGCCCGATTAGCAAATTTATGCTACGAAACATCCAAGGGACACAAATTTATGTAACGAATCGAGGTCCAGGAGGTGGAAAGAACCAACAAAACAAACAAACACGCTGGACACATACCAAGGACAGCAGGAGTTTAGGTGCCGACAGCAAATGAAACGCCTATCAGGTATCACCATGCGGCTCAAGCCAAAAGGGATTGGTCATGTTGATGGCCAACTAAAACGGATGTTGCCTTCAAGTGAGGACTCCTCCATGTGGTTTCCGGTTCAAGTTGGTGGATGCTTCCCTTCTTCCCTTGCAAACAAGCCTCGAAATTGGTTCCCTGCGTTCACCTTCAGGTGTGTCAAGGGGATGAGGTCTAGATGTCGGTCTACCAGCTTACCATGTCAAAGGCCGGTGCCCGTGTTGCGGTGGCTGTCCGGATTCCCTTGCTAGAACCAGCCCGTTCAACCTTCACCACGGGGGGGGGGGGGGTTCAGCATATTGAATGGGTCTGTCTGAGAGAAAAAGCCCCTAAAACAGGTGGTTTCCCCCTAGTTTCCCTTCAAGACAACCCCCAGAAAGGGTATCCCCACATGCTTCTACATCACGTTGCCGCGTGCACGAAGCCATTGCATCCGAGCTTCTATCATAGCTCTGGCCGTCTTCCTGGGCAGCCAGCAAGCTGCGCTTCGAGACGTCTAGTACTTCAACGCACCGGGGCGGTTGTTACCTACTTGGTTGACGTTGGAAGAGGAGCAAACATTTAATTTTTAGCAGCTAGGTGGTTGGATTTCAACCACTAAGCCACAATAAGCAAAAAGGTTTCAAATGTTTCCCAAAGACAACCATGTCTATGTGCTGTTGAACCCATGGGGAAACGAGTCCATCCCTAAGGCGCCGGGTCCCATGGGGGAAAACAAACAAGAAACAGACCCATCCATAGGTTCTTTCTTTTGACAAATAGATGGTCCTGGTACATGAAATGACACCCATCTACAACAGGGCCATCTATTCTTAACCAAACTAATCGAAAAAGGACACCTATGGACCCTGAACAAAAAAAAAAAGACCCACGGATGACTCGTTTTTCTCAACCATGTGCGCGCTTGGCGGCTGCTCCAGGTGCAGGTCCATGGCCGCCAGGAGCTCCGCCATGGGCACGTTCTTGGCGTGGGGCACGATCTGCTCCCTGAGCTCCTGGATCGAGGCGAACCCGACGCGGATCGCCCGGTGAAGGTCCAGTGACGCGTTGGCGTCACAAGCGGTCGACCCGTTTTGGGGGGGTGCGGGGGAGGAGGGGTGGGGGAACAAACAGGGGAACCGCGTTGGGGGGGTGGTGGATTTTGGGGGGAGAGGGGGGTGGGGGTTGAAATGGTCCATCTTTTGTGGAAAGAAAAGGAGTTGGAACGAAGCAACTCGAAGAGTTGGGTCCGGTCCTTAGGGCTGATTCCTTGCGTGAGCTGCATCCAAACATCGGGGGCTGTCCGAACCCAAAAAGGGGAAGGGTTCTCACCAGGGGTGGCTGCACAATTTATGGGGGGAGCAAAAGAAAGTTGTTTGAACCTGATTGCACAAGTATTACATGATATTGCATATTCAAACAGGGGATTAGAACCCTGCTGCCGAAACTGAAGGGCCCCGAAATCCATTCCTGCTTTCCTTTACGTTTGGTGCATCGCTCCTTGATTCCACGAGTCCCAACCATCGATATGGGCACATTCGTTCCATGGGGGCGGGGGGCGGTTTGGTCCACCAAATTCGGATCTTACCGCAGAGGTACATCTCTACTCTTGGTATGGTAGCAAACAAACTTCGTTTTTTTCAGACCCCCAGTAAAAATGAACAGAACCAACAAAAACACTAAAAAACATGCGAAGAACAGTGAAGGGTAATAACGCAGCCCAGAAACTGACAAGCTGTGTCGACTACGGTTTATGAGGTTGGGGAGCACAACTCAAATTCCCAACCAGGGAGACAAGCAACTTTCTCTTGTGAAGGTGGGAAAACGTGAGTTGCGTCCGTTGCTCACATGGATCATGATCGACATTCGCAAGATAAAAGAGGGTGGGGTCGTTTGAGGGTGACCTTGGGTGAGTTTCCCTCAATCAACAATTCACTTGTCCAGCAGTTGTTGTTTTCAAACTTACTATCGCTAGTATGAATCATTATATTTGAATCGAAGGGGCTGGGGTGGCCCCCAAATCAAGCATAGCCTTCCAGTGGGATCTACTTCCAGGGCTCACCCCTAGTCTCCGAGTCCAGTTTTAAGAAAGCCTAAACAATGCCTAGACCCTAAACCCAATGGATGTTTAGGTCCATTTCTTGTCCTCTTGAGGGAAGGTCACAGTTTCAGATGGTCGCGTCTTGTGGTCTTTGCCGTCCACGGAATACTAGAAGAACTTCCCACCTGACGCCTTTCCCATTTTAGCCTTCCCTTCGAAAGCTACCCAAAAACAGAAAGAGTTCCATGTTTTGAGACACGTCCATATGGGTTCGCTTCCAAGTGGGGGAACCTCCCAACATGTGTGGTTTCCCGGTGGGATTTCCCTTACTTTCCCCTTTCAAGCACCAAAGTGATATACCCACATCCCACGAAAACAATACAATTACCTTCAGCCAGGCCACTTCAACGGGGCTCCGGTTTTTGACACGAGCCTTCCCGGTCCCCGAGGTGGCGTGCCCCGTGGCTCCTGCGTGGGGGCGTGCAGGGACAAGGCCAAGCTGAGCCCGGGCAGATCGTGGACCAGCTGACGCATGCGAGGCACCACACCTGAGACTCTGAGAGCCGAGAGCCGAGAAAGCGAGTCATTTGGCCCAATTGGACCGCAGGAGTTTTGGATTTTGCTTTCCCAGGGCAAGCCATGTTGGGGTTAATTACCTTACTTTTAGACCCACACCCATTCGATACCCGCCAAAAATGGAAGGCAGAACGGCTTGGGAAAGCTACTAGAAGCGGCAACATATCTTCTTGAATGGGGTTATGGGGTACTTCACAACCAAATTCAGTCTTGGCCATGGGAGCATGCGAATAGCAATTCGATTAGCCCCTTGTTTAACCCTCCGGACATGGCACCTACTGCACAAACCCGTCTTCCAAAAGAGAAGGAAGAAGAAGAAGACGAAGAAGAAGTCAAGGGTCATTCCTCCTCTTTGGGGTAATGCAACCAGTGGTTGCCCATAACAAGGACACCTATTCTGTGGTGGACCGTTCCAAGGCGAATACCCGCGTGCGGGCTGTTTATTTGGCTTGCAGAAAACTTCCCAAGTTGGGCCCTCCGAGACGGGCTCTCGAAGGACCAAAGGCGCGACTGGCCCGCAGCCCAAACATGGGCGCGCAAAGAAAGGGATGCCTCAAAGGGTAAGAAACAACATCGATTGGGTGTGTCTTTTATATGGGATTGTAAAAATGCTGTGTTCCTTTTGGGTTCCCTTTGGACAAACATTATACCTTCCCCCAAACGGGCTTTTTGGCCTATTATAAAGTCTTGGGGGGCGTTCGCATCCCCGAAACACCGAAAAAAAAAAGGAGAAAAAAAAAAAAAAAACAACTTTGTGGGTACCATCAATGGCAGACAAACCCACATGAACCTGGATTATCTTGTGTCTTGGGTAACCCCCCCCCTAAAAAAACACATTTCCTAGGCCAACTGGCTGCCTGGAAACCTCCCATCTCATTAGGAAAGTGGCAAACTCCGCAGTGATCCATAGGGTTACCACCAAAAGACTACCAACATGAACCAACCTGGGTTTTTAAAGGTGCCTTGTGCAACCGAAAGCGCGGCACGGTGAAACCAACAAATAGGGGCCCTGCGAGGGTTGCGCCAGCACCTGGTTGAAACATGCTTAAACCTCCATTGCTGAAACAGCCGCCTTTTTGGTTTCCCTTTCAAAGGGACCAGGGGTTGGTTCGTTCAAGCAGATTTGCCGCAACTCCCCCCAAACCCCTCTCAACCCATCTGCAACGCAAAGGGCCCACAGTGGAGATGGTCACCCGACTCTGCGGCAGCGCCAGTTGCCCCAGCTGACCCAGGTCTGTCATTGTCCGCACTGCCGCCACCACTGCATCCTCACGGCCCAGAATCCGGATAGCGACTTCGGGTTTTAGCCTGAAGGACGCCAAAGGGAAACCATGATGTTGAAGCAATGACACGCGAAAAGCATCCAACTGTTCAACAAGCTCAATGTGGTTTTCCTTTCAAGGATGTCCCTCTAGTCTGCTTGCTGAAACTTATTTGCCCCCAGCCAGCGCCAGAATCCAGCCCCCCCCACCCCCCGTCCCCCTGCATTCCTCCAACTATTCGAATCCACCGGATTCCAAGCCGATGCAAGTCGATGGGCGGAACTGTTCCCCTCAAAAGACGTGTGAGAACCCGCAATGTTTTCACGTAGGACCCCGATACTCAAAATCCCACCCGAATTCCGAAGCCAAGCCCGAAAAAAGTTCAACGCTTCAATTTGCTCATTTGCGCGCTGGGCAAAATAGTGGAAATCCTGGTTTATGTCTGGATCATCGATCAGCAAAGCCGAGTCCCTGGTTTCCCCTGAGATTAAGTTGTTTTTTCTCCGGAAAACCAAGCAATGGACCCCGGAGCAACCGATATTATACAAGCCAAATCAAAGGACCCCCTGGCACAAAACTGTGGATGGACGAAATCCTGTACTTTGAGACCAGGGGAAACCATTGCTGGTTGGTATTTATATACAGGGGGAATCGAATCATTCCAGGGTTTCGTAGGTGGCGCGAAATGGATTTCGCAACCATCCACAGTATGGCGGGGGCATCCCTTTTCACTATTTTCGATTTACCCTCCCCACCCCCCCTGCCCCCCTTCCGCCCGCTGCCACTCCCCACCCAAAAGCCACCAGCATACTTGTTCAACGGCTCGCTCTATTTCCCCGTCCCGAAAACGCCATACCCGCGAAACCAGCAGCAAAAGAAAAGCTCACCTCCTGAATCTGCAAATACGAAAACAAATCTCTGTATAAACAAAAAAGGACCAAGGCGCGGAGTTCAACCGTCCCCCCAACCCTCTAACCTCCAACCTCCTCAACCCCCCTCAGCTCCCCTTAACCCCCCTCCCCACCGAAAAGAAGAGGAAAAAGAGAAAACATCTGTGAAAACCAAACGCATCAAACCAAAGCGCATAGTTACGTTCAACCATCCCCCCAACCTCTCCCCAAGAAAAAGAGAAGACCAAGGCGCGTAGTTGTTCAAAGGCTCTCCCATGCCCATGAAGACCGCGTTCCTCACCGGCGCGCGGCCGTTCTGACGTTCCACGCGCTGCGCCAGCAGCAGCTGCTCAACGATCTCCCCCGCGTCCAGGTCCTCCGGATCCCGAAGACCCCAGAACTGGGCTACCCGCAGATGCCCCGCTGAAAGTGACGAACTTTGAGCGGGGTAAATGGAAGCTACCGCTAAACACTAAGAAGCCAAAAGGCTAAAAGGCTAAAAGGCTAAGGAACGGGATGGCTGAAAGCCACCAAGAGAACTGACACGAAAAAGACGAAAGAGCCGACGAAAGCCGAGGAAAGGCCGACAAAAAGACCGGCAAATCCCACCAAATGAAAGCAACACGCAGAGAAATTCCGAAGCAAAACAACCACGCACACATATAAAAGCAAGCAAAACACAGAAGTTTAGACGATGAGACCAAACACATGGCAACATATAACAACAACACAAGGCAATAACACAGACTAAACGGAAACTCCACAAAACACACGCAAACACTGAAGAAACAGTGCAAACAACAAACACACACCAAACAAAAAACACCACACCAAACAGGAAAGTAACCACGGACTAGGGACCCAAAAAGCTATCAGATAGTTTGTTCGGTACCCTGTGGTAGAACGATTTTAGGGCATTTGACAGCCACTGGCTGCGGCAACCTGGAAAGCAGCTCTTCCCGACCTGCCTTGCCAATCATCACCATTATCGCATCCAGCAGCGGAAATAAACCTCTCGCCCAAAGCAAATGGAAGTACCTGGAGTCTCCATGACCCATAAAAATGGGGTCATGACCCCGTTATTTTGGGTAATGATCCCAGTTTTTTAAGGGTCATGGAGACTCCGGGTACCTCTTCTCAAACACCAAAACGAGACACTGACCAGGACTGAGACCATTTGCAGCCAGCGGGCGCCGACAATGGGCAAGGTGCCAGTGGCGCAAAATGTGCATCCCATCTGGCAGCCCACCTGGCCGCTCGAAACTTCATGCTCGAGTTGGCTTGGATATCAATCAGAAAAAGGGGGTATGCCAACGGAAGAGGACCATGAAGGAACCCAAAAGGGCAAACAGCTGTGTCAAGCCAAGCAATGATAAGGGGGGTACCAATCCTTGCAAGGACCAGCCTCATTGCAAATTCAACAGGGATCCAAGTGAAGGATTCACATTGGGGTCGATCGATACTCCTATCCCCCAAATGACCATCAGTCACTTCTTCCATTTAGTGCTTGAACATATCATCCTTTTCATGGCGTTCCAACCAATGGTCGGATCCCATACGGATCTTTTGAGGCCAACCCCCAGATCATGGGGTGAGTGATTGGTCCTCCACAGAGCTTAGAATAAGGGTACCAACTTTTTGCTGTAGCCTGTAGGGGGTTCCCCTCCCAATCAAAAAAGAATCGGGTGAGAGGTCGGGCACCGATCGCTGGACCTAGATCCATCGGTGAGCCCGAGCCACATCAGATCCCTCAGGTCAGACCAGGGCGCTTTGGCGCCTGGGAAGACACGCAGATGGTGGTGCGGTCCTCGTGGCGCATGATCACAGACTCCACCTGGAGGGGACACTTGGCGCAGGCTATTTTTTCAGGAGGGCAAGGGGAAATGGATCAGTCCCCTGGGGTTTTGTGGGACTTTCTGAGAGTTTTTGTCAGGATGTGGGGATGTCTCGTCTGAGTCTCCGGGTTTGTGTCGGACTTCGAGTGAGTTTCCCGGGTCTGTTTTGGGACATTGGGTTGCCCAGGAGATTGGCTGCACTGGTTGGTTCATTAGTTGGCTTGGTTTGGCTGGCTGGCTTGACTTGGCTTAACTCGTCCATAAGCTCACCCCTTCGCCTGTGTGGATCCTTGGGCTTCAAGTGGGTATTCTGTTGGGCAGGTGTTTTTGAGAACCACAGAGAACCCACGCAATCGCCATGGCACCCGTTTTTGACCCGGTCCGACATCCCTGGCACCTAGAACAATGGCCACCCTAACAAGAAGGGCGCGCCGAAGCCTTCACGAACTTTCAGGCCTTGAGGAAGGGGCATCTGCTCATAGGCCAAAGTACCATCTCTTGCCGCCTATAATAATCATAATAACCAAAAAAAACCATCTGAGGCTCGGGGGTCGTATTCCGATTTCTTTTTCCGCAGCCCACGAATTGGCTCGGCCAAAGTAGTACCACCTCCTCGCCGGTCGTATTTGAAACGGCAATACCCTTCTGAGGCTCGGGGTCGTTTTCCGCACCCCACCAATCGGCCTTATGCCCATCCCAGAGCTCGAGGACCATCTTGGTGGTGGAGCCATCCGCGGAGGTCACGGACGAGCTCAGCTTGCTGCTGAAGGGCTGAGTCCTGTCGCTTCGGCTCGAGGCAAGAAGGGTCGAGGACGATTCGACGATCGCTGGCTCAGACAAGGCAATGACCTGAATCGAAGTGGCCATGGTTCAAAACCGTTTTGGTACCATTTTGGGGTTTTCGGTGAACCACCCATTTTAGAACCTATTTTAGCGGGGATTGGGATGTTCACTCGGGGTACGGGGTTTTGACCCATGGCCAACTGAACACTCCAACCGAGGTTCCCCCCGCAACCCCCCGGTGATGCAACCTGAGAAGCAAGTTCGGTCGCGGATTCCTTTCACGTCAGACCTCCTTTGAGGCGCCCAGTAGCAACCACTTTTCTGGCTTCAACTGGACACCGAAAGGAAAACCACCGATTTGGGGGAAAACACACACACACACTCATGTTTCGCCAACCCTTCAACCCAAACAACACGGAGATTGAACCAACTTCTGGCTGCAAATCGCCGTGCGGCCTTCAAGTTCCAACGTCCAAATAGAAACTCGGTTCTTCGCTTGCCCAAAACGCCCCGGACATCTTTTGAAACGAAACAGTTCACCGAGGGAAAATCCATTCTGCTCAGATCCGGCCGATTCGCTGAGGCCGTGGCACGACCGCCGCGGTGAACCGATCTCGGCCGAAATTGGCGCCTCGTCAACACCTCGGCGGCCTTCTTGGGCAAGCCGAGGTCCGAGAGGCTCTGCTCCTGCCAACGGGACCCGCGTATTACGCGTCCGTTTTTCTTTTCTTTGTGTGTTTCAATACATATATATAGTTATATATTTGTTCGTATAGTTTTGTCCATGGACCAGTGACCCAAGCTAATCGAAATGGGGTGGCTGCCCAACCCCAATCCCTATTGGAAAGCCACAGGAACCCAATCCTTTCGTATTAAGAGCTAAGGATCTTGTGGATTGCCTGAACAGGCCAGTCAGGTTAGGGGAATCCGTTTTGGGAGTTGATCATGTGGGAAGTAATCAAAACCAAAAGGGATAAGTTGGTGCAGCTGGGTGCACCCAGTGGTCGGCTTCTTTCGATTTGTTGGAAAGGGTCTAAGCCGTTCAATTCCCATAGCAACCCACTGGCCTTGCGGGGCGTGAAGGGGCTGCAACCGCGGGGACGAATCGAAACTTGAACAACTCGAGGGATTCATGTACCATCCATTCCAATACTTTCTGGTTATGTGCAATGTGTTTTGGAGATTTCCTTTTTGGCTAAGTTCTTCGAGACCTCCGTATCAAGAACCAACATAATTCCAGTGTCTCAGGACGACGCGTTTAGCGCGTTCTGCCTGGGTTTTCTTTAAGAAGCTAAAGGCTTGAAACCCGGAACTTTGCCGGCACGGTTTCAACTGCCAAATCGAAGCAAACACCGCAAAACGACAAGGAGGAGAACAAGACAAATGATACCGTCAAAGCATAGTAGGGAAAGGATGGAGGATTTTATACATGCCCAAATGCTGACATTCGACGGTTTCGGGCAATGGTCAAAGCCCTAGGGGTGAGCGCATAGAATTGAACTCTGAGGTGTGGAACGCTCAGTCACTTGTGCCAAAATTTCTGGGTCCCGTGTTCACTGTTGGATCATTTGTTGTAAGACAGTCATGAGTCATGCTCATGTGTTGTTTGATGGTTGGCCGGTCAGCATCGATTGCACCGCTTGCAGCATCGCACATCCTCGTGAGTTCGGCACGGGGTTCAAAGAGAGTCGCAGGTTTGAGAACTGAAGCCTGCAGGTAAACATGCCATAAATCAAGTGAACATAGTCGAAGATTGAATGCAAGAGTTAGCATCAGTGCTAATAGTGCGTGTGATGCTTACTTGAACCAGAAGTCAAGTTGAGACCCAGTTTGCAAAAAAGCTCGGTTGGGCATGTTTGGAGTTTGGTCGCGGCAAAGCCCTCTGTTGTGCGTGCAGATATATGACGGATCTCCTTTGCGCCCAGGAATTCAACATAGCTGGAATGAAGGGCACCAAGACCAAGAGAGGGGATCGGTGGTGGCAGGGAAGCGCAAAGAGAAACAAGCGGTAGGGTTGAACCTGGGCCAATGTGGCTTGTGTTTCACAGGACTGGAGTTTCCGGGCCAATTTCTGTGCCAAGGGCATCCGGTTTAAGGTGATACAGAGCCATGGGACTCAACCACTTTAGTACTGTGGATGGACGAAATGTTGCACCACTTTGAAACCATGAGAAACCCTTGTTTGTTGGCATTTACCAGGGAATCATCATTCCAGGGTGGTGCAGGATCCTGTCCATCCACAGTATCACGGACGAGAAACAAGAACGCAACCAGGTGTTGGCAAGCGTCCCTCATCCGCACCCTACATTGAAGAACAAGACCCCTGTTCTCGGTTGCTTTCTGCTCCCCTGCTAAAAGCTTAACTTTTAGTAGTTTAATGGAAAACTCATTAGTTGGCAAACAGCTAAATTCCTAACATCCAAGCAAAATGCCCCAAAGTTTTGGAAGGCCGAGCCGTTGTTTTAGGAAGCTCAGTGTTTTGGAACGGCGCGCTTTTTTTTTTATGTGTCGCCCGAATTGCCGTTAAAACAGCTTGTACCAAGTGTCCAGGTATTTATCCCAACTCGCATCCCAAGCTTCGGGAACCTTGGGAAGGCTGCTGTGACAGCGCGAATACTTCAAGCTTTCGTTTACCGGTGATATTTCCCTCACACCCGTAGGATCCCATAGGATTTCGGGGGGTAAGTGAGTCTCAAGGGAAAAGCTGGGGGTGTACCGTCTTTGGAGTGTGTTTACGGGGAAACCAACGGAAAGCATTTGAAGAAGCTGTAGTCTTCGGGAATGCGACTGAGATTAGGTCCTCCAGATTTGACAGGTTAGAATAGCTTGGTACTCGTTTTTGTTTGTTGTTTTCCTTTTTTTCTGTAGTCTATTTCAGTAGGGGAACCCTCCCCCAAAAAAGGGTAAAAGGGGAGTACTGGGGGACCTAGATCAGCTTCCATGATTGCTGGATCCTCGCACCATCAATCGGGAACATCCTTGGGTTTGCCTTCTTTGAGAGGGTAGCCTTTTTCACCCAGCTTTTCAAGGGACAGGGACCGCCTCATTTTTGTGGGCTCCAAATCCCCAGGACTCGAAAATTTTGGAGAAAAAAACAAAAAATGAAAGAGGGGTGGAATCCAGTGGGCTACCTCCCGTGCTGTGGACCGAACATCTCAAAATCTATGTTGCAATCTCTCGTTCTGTTTTTTTTTTTTGTGTTGGGCTGCGAACTCACCCCTCTCTCCCTCTCTCTCTCTCTCTCTCTTTCTCTTTCCACGGCACCTTCCCCCCTTCCCAAAACCCTCCTCCCAAAAAAAAGCAACAAACAACAAACAAACACAACAACAACCTCCCCAAACCCCCCCAAACCCCCAAAACCCCCAAAACCCCCAAAACCCCCAAACCCCCAAACCCCCAAACCCCCACATCCCCCCAAACCCCCCCCCCAAGCTGCCCAACCCCGGGCGTCCTGCAGGCCGAGCTCCCGCCAGCCGTCCGCATCCCCTTGGACCACCTTGGCGGCCGCCCAGCGCAGCAGCGGCTCCGAGTGGCTGCGCTTCACCTCCAGCGAGTCCAAAAGCCTCGATGTCGAGCGACCAGCGAAACCATGGGCTTCCCCTATGCTGTGGTTTCCCTACGGTTTCCCTATGCTGTGGTGTCCCTACGGTTTCCCTATGGCGTGGTTTCCCTACGGTTTCCCTATGGCGTGGTTTCCCTACGGTTTCCCTACGGTTTCCCTACGGTTTCCCTATGGTTTCGCTACGGTTTCCCTATGGTTTCCCTTTTTCGACATGTGTTTATTGTTTTAACCAAGGGAGGAAGTTGTTCTTCTTTTTTTTTTTTATTGACAAAAGGGTTGTGTTTCTCCCTATGGTTTCCCTATAAACCATCCCCTATTTGCGAGATAATGGCAAAAGAAACCACGGGTTTCCCTATGGTGTGGTTTCACTATGGTTTCCCTTTTTCCACTTTTTGTTTCTGGTTTCCCTTCACTTCGCGAGATAATGACCGTTAGAATTTCCAACGCGAGAATGATCAAGGAAGCCACCATCAAGAACGGACTTGTTGTCAGTATTTAACCAAAGTGTGAGGGTTCTAGCACTAGAACCTCAAAGGCTTAGAGTTGAAGAGTTAGGGTTATAGCTTGCTGGTTCTCAGCAGGACATGGGGCTGCTTTCTCCCCTATGGTTTCCGGATAAACCATTTCTAACTGTTTCCCTTAACTTCGCCAGAGAATGACCGATAGAATTGTGCGAACGAGAATGACCAAAGAACTCACCATCAAGAACGGACTTGTTATCATTTATTGTTCTCGGACTTCGCCAGAGAATTTGTGTCATAAGGATTCAACCAACGAGAAGCTCCAATGTGACCAAAATGGGTTGAAAGCGCGAGCAAGTGCTGGTTCTCAGGGAATGCAGGATTTGTTCGCTATGATTTCCCTGTAAACCATCCCCTATAGGTTCCCTTACGGGAATCCCTAGTTTGACTGGCCCCAACTAGTTTTTGGAGGACATTTCCATGCCGCCCCAAACGGGAAACTACCGGTTGGCCAGCTCATACACTCTCCACTGAAACAAGGGAGTAGACCCCCCTACATGCGGGCCAACTATACTTAGATGAAAATTGTTGGAATCCCCCAGTCTGGAACCTCAGACCCTCCATGGGATTCTTTTCCCCCATTTACCCTCATGCATTCAAATGTCGGTATAACCAACATGGATTGTCTGGGATAGTTGAACTGACCCCAACAAAAACCGTCATCGCTTCTCTGCCGTTAAATAATTACGAAGCTGCTCGGCTGGCTTCAATGTTCCCAACTTCATGTCCATCAACTGAAGTCAAGGTCTGGGTTCCTTGAATGTATGTAGATTCCATCCGGATTCCCGTGCCGCTCCCCTGGCTTCGAGTTGGATTGAACAGGGCTGGAGCATCCATAAAACCTGTCTGGCGATTTTCAGAATTACCTGTATCCACTAGCTAAGAACCCTCCATACCTTTTGTCCATGAGAATGATTCCGGAGCGTGCTCAGAAGGTATGTTGAAAGTGTTTCAGGTTAGAGTTCCGCGACGCATGTGAACTGTGATGGTTGGCTCCATCTTTTTTCGGGAAGGCAACGTCCAAGCGCTCTGTAAAGCTCAATAGCACCCATTCTCGAGGTCGGTGGGGCTTCCAACAAAGACTTCCCGTTGTTTCAGAAGTGATGTGTTGAATAGGGGGACCCCAAAATGGGTGAGTTTTCTTTGGGTTTGCCTTCAAACCAAGGTAAAAAGTCATATTGAGTTGCCCCCTGGCATTGGTTGTCCATTTAAGTTCAGCCCCTTAAACGATGGGGGCATGTCTTTGGTTGATTATTATGACCCTTCAGAGGACGCAATTTAGGCCACCATACCACTTTTGAGAAGGTTCCCATGGCCATAGTACTCAAGGGTGAAAGTGGATGGCATTGTGTGAAAGGGATCACAAAGCCTCAACGGGGAGGTTGTGCCCTTGCACTTTCATCCAATAGTACACGTTCTTGCGGAAGATTCACTTCGAGTTCACAGTCAAGTCAAATGTAATCAACATCGATGCTACATCTACCCCCGCAAGGGTGGGAGGCAAACGTAACATTAGCACCATAACGCTTAGACTACTGGCCAGTTGGTTCTGCCTCAAAACTGACAACACAAACACAAACACAAACACACCCACACACCCACACACACGTCTGTGCTCGACATGTGAGCCATGGTCAAAACTTGAGTTGCCGAGCCGGCCGTCTAAATTTCTAAGCTGCTGACCACCAGGTGACCATGGCACACGTAAGCTAGCTCACACCTTCACGTGCAAACTTGACGCGACCACGGGAAAAGCAATATTCAAACACTGGAAAGAACATGTTTGATCCTCGCATCCGCCAATAATGGAGTCAGCAGAAACTCCCCGAACCAAGCTCCTTTTGAAGGAAAGCTCTGTCGGGTTCCATGTACAATTCCCTCATTTGGGCTTAGTTATCCACTTTACTTACCAACATAAAGGGAATTTTGTGCCATCTTCACCTAGCTGTAAGTGGGTGGAAGGGTCGTAATTTACTTTGAGGGTTGGGAGAGCCGCCCTGCCCAAGCGCACGCCACCCAGTGCAAGCCTCACCCCACAAACGATAAGTTGAAGGCAGATGCGGATTCCTAAACTAGATGGGAAATAGACGATCTGGAAAGCTTGAACAACTCTGCCCCCCCTCCCCCCCTTCCCCCCCCCCCCCCCGCCGTTTTGCTTTGTGGAAAATCACAGACCAGGGGTTCTGTGAGCGGGCACCTGATGCTAGAAAAGGATTCAAAAGCCGTTGCCTCAGCCTGACATGAATCGACTACAATGAAACACCGTCAACAATCCTTGACTGGGAGGGAGAGAGAGGGGGACTACACCATCATCCGCGATATTACTACATCTGAGCAGCACACGCGAACAGCAACACCAGTTGTTATTCGCGGCTACCGTCCCAAAGGGCTTCTGGAGACGAATCTCCATGTAAGTGATGTCCACCACAGGGGCCGCAATTGAACACCGTACCCATTTCAAATTAGGCGATCTTTCGCGGCCGACTCTTGGAGACAAGCAGCTGCAGCAAGGCCGGAAAATCCCAAAGTGTCGAGCACCTCGGATGGCGTAAAACATGAGCAGAACTCCCAAGCCATTGAGTTGTGGTACCAACAAAGACATAAAGGCTTACCTTCTATAGGAATAAATCTATCACTCCAGAAACGCACAGCTCTCAAAAAGAAACCGAGGGTTGACTCTCGGGAAAAGCCTGGAAGGAGTGTGCTAGTTGAGTCTTATTCTCAGGGTACTCGAAGGGTATCCGGAGCTTCCCCGCAAAGAAACCCTTAGGTAGGCCAAATCCAGGGGAAAGCCCACAGGAAAATCTACGGAAACCCCATGGCAAACAAATAGTTGACACACTCCATCTGCATCTGTGCAAAACAGAAAAGCACCCCACCCCATTGAAAGGTGCGCTTCTGGACATTGGACAAGGGAAGATTGAGGGTTCTGTGGGTCGCGACGTGTCTTTTTCTTTTGCTAGGATTGGCTTCTTGTTAGGAGTACCTCGCTACAAGAAGTGGCTGACTGTGACCAAGAGAGGAGGGCGGGTGGAGGCGTGAGCCCCACGCTGCGTTGCAGGGCTGGTTTCAAGCCGCTTAAGTTCTTGCGGCTGAAATTGGGGAGGCTTTAGACAGCTTTAAAGCTTTGTTTGTCAGGGCTGGTTTTGGTTCGTTTGGGGCCAGCTGGGGAGTGACGACATGTGACCACCGCTTGGCATTAGTTGTTTTTCGAGCTTAGCTGCTTGTGGTTGAACTTGGGTAAACTTGGGGGTGGCGTCGGGCTGGCTTGTGTCTGTTTCAGCTGCGCTTACTGTTGCTGGAGGGGGGGTGGTATTTGTAGTTTTGCTGGTTTGTGGTTTGGGGCAACGCGCCAAAACCAGGCGCCCCAAAGCCTGACACAAGCCAGTCCGACGCCACCCAAGTTTACCCAAGTTCAACCACAAGCAGCTAAGCTGAAAAAACAACTAATGCCAAGCGGTGGTCACATTGCATGTCGTCACTCCCCAGGTGCCCCCAAACGAACCAAAAACCAGCCCTGACAAAGCTTTAAAGCTGTCTAAAGCCTACCCTATTCCTGCCGCAAGAACTCAAGCGGCTTGAAACCAGCCCTGCAACGCAGCGTGGGGCTCACGCCTGTCTTGCGGTGGCGACAGATCAGGGTGAGACTGAGCCCGGTGATACTAGGGATGTTGACCCACAAAGTGTAGATCAAAAGGAGATCTGGCAAATAAAAGCCTGGGCTCCATCCTGAAACATCTAAATTCAACATTTCTGTCTTGAAGGATTCTTGAGTCTGAAGTACGATGATGAAAGAGTGAAAGTCAAACATTGTCTTGGAGGAGTAGTTGGGGCTGCTGAAATAGGCAAACTGTGACAGACGCAGGCGCACATGGGCATGGACAGGCCGAAAGGGAGAAAGACCAGGGATAAACTGTGACAGACGCAGGCTGAGCCGGTGTGATGCCACTACACCAACTGCCCCTGAGCTGAGGAGGCCGAGAGTGCTCAACTACCTGCTGGGCACAGCTTTCCGCGCTGAAGCTCTGTCACGGCCAGCCCGTTCGGCCTGTTTTCTTCCTATCTGCTGCCGGCGCACTCCTTTGGTTGGTGCTCGCTGAAGCGCTGAAGCACCTGCAGGGCACAGTTTTCAGCGCTGAAGCTCTGTCACGGCCCGCCCGTCCGGCCTTCTTTCTTCCTTTCTGCTGCCGGCGCACTCCTTTGGTTGGTGCTCGCTGTGCGCAAACGAGTGCGGGCCCGCCCGTTCGGCCTCTTTTCTTCCTTTCTGCTGCCGGCGCACTCCTTTGGTTGGTGCTCGCTGTGGACAAACGAGTGCGGCCTGGCAAAGCGCGGGAAGCGAAGCTTTTGTGGCTGGCCGCTCCCTCTGGACCGATAGCCTTGCTGCGTATTGGACTCAAACGTGACGTTAGGCACCCGGCCGCGGCGGAGCAGGCTGCCGGCGCACTCCTTTGGTTCGTGCTCGCTGCGGCGAAGCGAGTGCGGCCTCCCAGCGCGCTGGACGCGAAGCTGTTCTTGCTGGTTGCGCGGCGGAGCAGCCGCCGTTGGCAAGACGCACAGCAAACCCAAAGGGAGAAAGACCAGGGATAGGAAACGGTGACAGACGCAGGCGCACATGGGCATGGACAGGCCGGGGATTGAACCCGGCCCCTCAGGCATGCTGCGCGGGTGTGATGCCACTACACCAACTGCCCCTGAGCTGAGGAGGCCGAGAGTGCTCAACTACCTGCTGGGCACAGCTTTCCGCGCTGAAGCTCTGTCACGGCCCGCCCGTTCGGCCTTTTTTCTTCCTTTCTGCTGCCGGCGCACTCCTTTGCCTGGTGCTCGCTGTGGCAAAACGAGCGCGGCCTCTTTGCACGCTGTACGCGAAGCTGTTCTTGCGAGCAGGCATGCAGGACCGATGCGCAAGATTTTTGCGCTGCGCTGCCAGATTTCCGCACACGTCATTTCGTGCGCCAGTCCTTGGTCTGGCAAAAGCGTTTGCTGTTTGGCTCTTTGTGCTGGACCCGGATCCGGCCTTGCCTCGTGCTCGACTGCACTGTCGCTCCGCAGGTCGGACACGCATGCTCGTACCTCGCGCCATCTTCTCGGCGCACAACCTGTCCCTCGCAAACTTGGAAGCGGCGCCCGCAATGCCGTCGCGAGTTAACCGTGCCGCTCCAGACGCCTGACTCCACGTCGGCGCTGCAGTGCGGGCAAGTGTACGTTCGCTGCGAGCGCTCTGCCTTCTTTTCGGCCTCCTTTCCTCGGTCGCGTGGCTCCAACGCCTGCACCGCTGCGCTGCGCATTTCCCGCGCGCGAATAATGTCTGCGATGCATGCGCGGATCTCGGCCAGCGCCCGGCGCTTCTGGGCTGCGCGTCTGCGCGCTAATCGCGCGGCGCTCTTCTTGGCGATCGCTTTTGTGTCACGTGCTCGGAGGCAGGCATTGCACTGTTGCTTCCCGTTCCGCGCCCTCTTGTACCGCGAGAACGCGGCAACTGCGCATCTCTCCTTGCACTGCACGCATGTCCAATGGCCTCGTTCGTTTGCGCTGCAGTCCTTGCACACTTGGCGCGCCTTGCGCCGTGTTTGCCACGCCGCCTTGCTGAAATCGCTCTCTGTTTTCGACTCTCCGCAACGCGCGCACGCATGGGTTTCGATGCAATTGCAGCAGACTCGTTGCAGCTCGCTTCGCGTTCTATGCCACTTCTCGAGGAACCCTGCCCGAGGCTGCCAGTAGTAGCAAACGCAGCATTGCCACGGGTGGCCTGCGCTTTCGTGCCGCCCGGTGCATTCTTTACACACTCCGCTCGCGTCCTCTCGTTTCCATCGCCCCGCAGTGTACGCGCAACGACCCTTCCGCTGCAGGCATTCGACGCACTCTTTCTCGATGAGGTACTTTTTTCGAATGGCTTCCCAATCGATGACCTCCCCCCTCCAAACTCGCAAAAGCAGGTTACGGCCGAAATCGTCTCCGCGTTGAAACGGCTCCAAGTCGAACGGGCGAGCTTCTGTCTCCCTTCAACCCGCGTCATGGCCACGTACGATGTCAACGGGTTGTCTCCCTTCTTCATGGCTATGTCCACGACTGCGCCGTTGACTGCTGTTATCCCTTGCGCCCCGTGCGCTGTCAACGCAAACGGCTGTCGGCGAGACACGCGAAGCTGTGGTTTCTTGCGTTTCCCATCCAGGAACCACGCACTTCGAACTGGCGCAACGGGCAGGACGCAGTTTCCTTGTATGCCATCGACGCGCCATGTCTTGCTCGTGCGGAACTTCACGTACACGGCCGCTGGCATTTCCGCCCAATAACGCACATGCCCGTCCGCACGCGTCACCTCGCTTTTGTCGCCCGCGTGCGTCCAGCCACACACAGTCCCCGCGCAGCCGCGAAGCACGCGTCGTTCGCGGTCCAAGTGGTCAGTTGCTGATACCGGCATGCCAATGCATAGCGGCAGCGTCCCGTACAAGTTGCCGCTTTCGCGGTCATGACGCTGCCCGAATGATGCAAGACATGCCCCAAACTGTACAATCGCCCGGTAATGCTGCGGGTTTTCAAGAATGTGACGCCGCCTCCTTGCGCCCCTTCCCCGCGGCCCAGCTCGAACCCACGCCCGTGACCTCTTGCTGCACAGGCACAGCCGACCCAAAGCCTGCTAGAACGCAGTCCTGCGACAACGCCACCAAAATGCGGGCCAGTACACAGAGAAAACTGCGAACCTGAGAAACGAGGCTGTGCCCGCGAGCGCGGCCCTGCTGCACCCGCTGCGCCACACGCCGGCTGGCCTGCGCGCCGAAAGCAGCGTAGCAAGTTTCGCAAATGCACCGTAGCAAGCAAGCAAGCAAGCAAGCAAGCAAGCAAGCAAGCAAGCAAGCAAGCAAGCAAGCAAGCAAGCAAGCCTGAACCAGCCAAAAACCGCTGCCAGAACAAAAAAAACCTGGGCTGGCCCCCAGTGGAGGGGTCGGCGGCACTGGGCGGCAGCCCTTAAATAAGAGGTTGAGCCCGAGCCCGAACCCGAACCCACACCCCCCCCCCCCAAAAAAAAAAAAACAGCGAACCCGAATCCGAACCCGAACCTGGACCCCCCCCCCCCCTCCCCAAAGAACCCGAGCCCGAACCCGAACCCGAACCCCCCGACCCCCCCCCTCCCCAAACAAAAACACCCGAACGCGCCCGAACCCGAAGCTGAAGCCGAAGCCGAAGCCGAACCCCCCCCCCCAAAAAAATAAATAAGAGGTTGAGTCCGAACCCGAACCCGAACCCCCAAAAAGAACAATGGCTAAACCCGAACCCCCGAACCCGAACCCCCCCAAAAAAAAAGCGAACCCGAACCCGAACCCGAACCCGCACCCGGACCCCCCCCTCCCAAAAAATAACACCCGAACCCGCCCGAACCCAAACCCGAACCCGAACCTCTCCCCCTCCCGGCCACGCCCCAACCCGAACCCGAACCCGAACCCGAACCCCCCCCCCAAAAAAAAAAGAACACCCGAACCCGCCCGAACCCGAACCCGAACCCGAACCCGAACCCGAAACCGAACCGAACCCGAACCCGAACCCGAACCCGAACCCCCCCCCAACACAAAAAAAGCGAACCCGAACCGGAACCGGAACCGCAACCGGAACCCGAACCCCCCCCCAAAAAAAAAAAACACCCGAACCCGCTCGAACCCGAACCGGAACCGGAACCGGAACCCGAACCCCCCCCCCAAAAAAAAAATGATAGGAGGGTGAGCCCGAACCCGAACCTGAACCCGGAACCCGAACCCCCCCCCCAAAAGAAAAATGGCTAAACCCGAGCCCCGAACCCGAACCCGACTGAACAAGAACAACGAAAAACG